ATTAACATCACTAGTGTAGGGACGGCGAGTGGAGTAACGTCAAAAGTGTAGGGAAGGTGAGTGGAATAACGTCACTAGTGTAGGGACGGTGAGTGGAGTAACGTCAGTAGTGTAGGGACGGTGAGTGGAGTAGCAGTAATAGTGTAGGGACGAAGAAGGTAGTAACGTCAATAGTGTAGGGACATGTACAGTGGGTGGAGTAACGTCAGTAGTGTAGGGACGGTGAAGGTAGTAATGTCAAAGGTGTAGGGACGGTGAGTGGAGAAATGTCAGTAGTGTAGGGACGGTAAGTGGATTAACGACAATAGTGTAGGGACGGTGAACGTAGTAACGTCAATAGTGTAGCGACGGTGAGTGGAATAACGTCAATAGTGTTGGGACGGTGAGTGGAGTAACATCACTAGTGTAGGGACGGCGACTGGAGTAACGTCAAAAGTGTAGGGAAGGTGAGTGGAATAACGTCACTAGTGTAGGGACGGTGAGTGGAATAACGTCAGTAGTGCAGGGACGGTGAGTGGAGTAGCAGTAATAGTGTAGGGACGGTGAAGTTAGTAACGTCAATGGTGTAGGGGCAGTGAGTGGAGTAACGTCAGTAGTGTAGGGACGGTGAGTGGAGTAGCAGTAATAGTATAGGGACGTTGAAGGTATTAACGTTAAAAGTGTAGGGACGGTGATTGAAATAACGTCACTAGTGTGGGAACGGTGAGTGGAGTAACGTCAGTAGTGTAGGGGCGGTGAAGGTAGTAACGTCAAAGGTGTAGGGACGGTGAGTGGAGTAGCAGTAATAGTGTGGGGACGGTGAAGGTAGTAACGTCAATATTATAGGGGCGGTGAGCGGAGCAGCAGTAATAGTGTAGGGACGGTGAGTGGAGTAGCAGTAATAGTGTAGGGACGGTGAAGGTAGTAACGTCAATAGTGCAGTGACGATGAGTTGAATAACGTCATTAGTGTAGCGACGGTGAGTGAAATAACGTCATTAGTGTAGGGACGGTGAGTGGAGTAGCAGTAATAGTGTAGGGACGGTGAAGGTAGTAACGTCAATAGTGTAGGGACAGTGACTGGAGTAACGTCAATAGTTTAGTGACGGTGAATGTATTAACGTCAATAGTGTAGGGACGGTGAATGGAGCAACGTCAATAGTGTAGGGACGGTGAATGTAGTAACGTCAATAGTGTAGGGACGGTGAGTGAAGTAACGTCAATAGTGTAGGGACGGTAAGTTGAGTAACGTCAATAGTGTAGGGGCGATGAGTGGAGTAACGTCAGTAGTGTAGGGACGGTAAGTGGAGTGACGTCAGTAGTGTAGGGACGGTGAGTGGATTAACGTCAGTAGTGTAGGGACGGTGAATGGAGCAACGTCAATAGTGTAGGGACGATGAGTTGAATAACGCCATTTCTGTAGGGACGGTAAGTGGAGTAACGTCAATAGTGTAGGGACGGTGAATGTAGTAACGTCATAGTGTAGGGACGGTAAGTGGAGTAACGTCAATAGTGTAGGGACGGTGAATGTAGTAACGTCATAGTGTAGGGACGGTAAGTGGAGTAACGTCAATAGTGTAGGGACGGTGAGTGGAGTAACGTCAGTAGTGTAGGGACGGTGAGTGGAGTTACGTCAGTAGTGTAGGGACGGTGAGTGGATTAACGTCAGTAGTGCAGGGACGATGAGTGGAGTAACGTCAATTGTGTAGGGACGGTGAAGGTAGTGACGCCAATAGTGTAGGGACGGTGAGTGGAGTAGCATTAGTATTGTTGGAAAATTAGGTGAAGTAGTATCAGTTGGGACAGTAAGTGGAGTAGCATCAGTAGGACAGAAGCCTCAATAGGATGGTGATTAATATTTTTAACGTTTCTTACATAACTAACGTTACGAATCGCATAAGAGTTGTTTATATTAGAGTTGTGGCACTGATGACTGAGATGGGTCCGTCAATAGTGTAGGGACAGTGAGTGGAGTAGCAGTAATAGTGTAAGGACGGTGAAGGTAGTAACGTCAATATTATAGGGGCGGTGAGCTGAGCAGCAGTAATAGTGTATGGATGGTGAGTGGAGTAGCAGTAATAGTGTAGGGACGGTGAGTGGAGTAGTAGTAATAGTGTAGGGATGGTGGAGGTAGTAACGTCAATAGTGTAGGGACGATGAGTTGAATAACGCCATTTGTGTAGGGACGGTAAGTGGAGTAACGTCAATAGTGTAGGGACGGTGAGTGGAATAACGGCAATAGTGTAGGGACGGTGAGTGCAGTAACGTCAGTAGTGTAGGGACGGAGAGTGGAGTAACGTCAATAGTGTAGGGACGGTGAATGTAGTAACGCTAATAGTGTAGCGACGGTGAATGTAGTAACGCCAATAGTGTAGCGACGGTGAGTGGAGTAACGTCAGTAGTGTAGGGAGGGAGAGTGGAGTAACGTCAATAGTGTAGGGACGGTGAATGTAGTAACGTCATAGTGTAGGGACGGTGAGTGGAGTAACGTCAATAGTGTAGGGACGGTAAGTTGAGTAACGTCAATAGTGTAGGGGCGATGAGTGGAGTAACGTCAGTAGTGTAGGGACGGTGAGTGGATTAACGTCAGTAGTGCAGGGACGGTGAGTGGAGTAACGTCAATTGTGTAGGGACGGTGAAGGTAGTGACGCCAATAGTGTAGGGACGGTGAGTGGAGTAGCATTAGTATTGTTGGAAAATTAGGTGAAGTAGTATCAGTTGGGACAGTAAGTGGAGTAGCATCAGTAGGACAGAAGCCTCAATAGGATGGTGATTAATATTTTTAACGTTTCTTACATAACTAACGTTACGATTCGCATAAGAGTTGTTTATATCGGAGTTGTGGCACTGATGACTGAGATGGGTCCGTGATAAAATGTATGAAGCTGGCGCCAGTAGCTGCATACGTTTGTCAAACTACCTAGTATTCACAGTTTTTTATGCTTTTCATTAATGTTATTGCCTATGTATCCTTGACATATGCAAGTTAGCAACTGACTGTCAGTGTATGTCCATGTTGCTCTGCTGATGCTGATTTATCCGTATCACGGGTAACAGGACCTCATATGCATTAACTACTATCTGTCTGCGGCATTCTCCGCCGTGTAATGTGATAGGCAGTCATTGTAGAACCTGCAGAATTTAAGGACAATGCGGGGTGGGAGACGTGGTGTACTCCTTTTGTGAAATATGGGATGTCGTCAATCCACTGGTGAGTGTTGTTTATTTCAAACCGAGCATAAACCCGTATATAACTCCGTATAATATATCCGCCAACTATTTCAAAACAAGTAAAGCACTCATTCGCACTATGGAATCGCCGCATGGCGCGGCTCTTCTCGGCAGGATATATGTATTATATTATCTCAGTACTGTAAACGATGAGGAAAGATTTCAGTAATAAAATCAGTTCATTTGGCATCTACAAAAGAATTCGTCCTTGGTTTATTTCGATCTTAAGTTCTGGTTTAACACCAGGGGCGGTCAAACATACAATTGACTTCAATGGCAATTCAATGGAGCAAGCCAAAAGTACCTACTTTCCCGGAATTCTATCTATCAAACCAGGTCCCAAAACATGATCACATTCTTATACAGCTATGTGCTGCAATAAAATAGACTTCACTTTGTGTTATGTTTGGCCCTTACTGGTGATATTAATATAAGAAGGTTTGTACTCAAATTTGCTGACAAAGGTAAAAATCAATATACAAAACTATTTCGTTTTTTTAAGTAGGATTTTAACATGGCTTTATTCGGTATGCGTGTCTTCCTGTGTACACTAACAAGACAAGTAACTACCAGCTGTATAGCGGAGGATACAAGAGATACGTGTCTTACATGCCTTACAGTTATACCCGTTGTAATTTCGTTACAGCAAATAATAGTTTTGATAATCATTAGAACATTTGGGAAAACTACATCAGGGTTTTTTGGGTAGCCTTGTGGTCAAAGTGTTCGCCCAGCAATCCGAAGGCCCAGATTAGATTCCTGACATGTTTGAATCCTATTCCTGGTGATCCCTGAGGTGTTTAGTAAAAGACGGTGTCAAATCCTGCTCTCTCACTACAAATGAAATTAGCTACAGTGCGTATAGTACATGGAGTCAACATGGCTGACACAATTACTGTAACGTTTGCGTGGATTAGCTGTTGGGCATCATTACTGTACTTGGTGCTTATGTTAAGGTGATTGTTATGATGTGGTGAGCACTAGCATTTAGTAAAGTCATAGATCTCTGCAGATCGCACCTGACTGTCAGTTATAGTCTAGGCACTGATTAAATTGTTTATAATGTGCATGTCTCCTTTTATTAACAACGCGTAGCAACAGCCGTGTCGAAGATATACAATCACAGTCAATAATACTGACTTTTCAAACGTTTATAAAACAAGACTAAAGTGTTAAAGCTACCATCATGTTTTCTATCGCCAATGCATATCGAAAACTAAGTTCAAAACTAAACAGTCAAAGCTATCATACGTGTATAGCCTTTATCCAAGGAGTGCGGAATGCCCAGTGAAATATGTCCAGTAAAGTAGTGTAATTTACGCGCTTATGAACGTCACTTTCCGCACTTGTGACCGAAATATCTCCTATCGAAAAGCAGCATGAACATATGAACTTGACTACAAAATGTTATTTATTATACAGACTGGCATATGTTTGCAGCATCTAGCTGCGTCATGCACTATTCATTGCATTAGGTATTCCTACCCAAATTAAGCATCATTGTGTTTGGACCTTGCCTGGTCCGTGTTATCGCGACATGTTTTGTACTATTAAGAAGGACCCATGTGAGTCTTCTTCAGATACACACTTGTCTTTACGAATGATTCCGGGAGAAGTAACTGTTCAAAACCAACAAGTTAGGAGCTTTGAGACACTACTCTAAGTTCCTATTGAAAGAATACAATCAACTGAAGGCAGCCACAATTCCAGACAAAAGCCGAGCTACGGTAACAGAGACTGATTCGGAGAGTGCAATTCAAAGCGCCCCTCAATGTAACACAGAGTTAGTTAAACGTTGCGCAAAGGGTTTCTTCACTGAGATCTTGTGATTGCTGTGCTGGTGTGATCAGATACTTTCTCCTTCGCAGAATGGGACAAGGCTGGATATAGCGGAGGTCTGGGAGGCAGGGTGCTGGCTGTCGTCACTCGCCCTCTCTCACGACCCGGACTTCGTCTACCTGCCTACGCACTAGAGGGATTGATTTTTGAAGAAATTTAATTTAAACTGTCAAGGACACTTCTACATGAGTGGAAAGTAAATAAAACTGGCTAATTCAGTCTCTTAGCAACGCCTTGGGGACTCTCGACGCCGAGTGAGAGCAGCATTGTTCCGACCATGGCGAATCTTAACTTAAAGCAGAATCGGTTCTACCACGTCCCAAAGCTTTGTTGCAAGTAAATGTCATTGGATACACCAATTGCATCATCGTTCTACGGAATGGATTAGAAAATGATCCGAAATGCTGCTGAGAGTCAAACCACAGAAGACATCAAGTAAGTAGCATAGAGGGATTGTCAATGACAATCGTGTGACAGTTGTTAGTGACACCAGGTTGTGTATTAGGCTCGACTGCGTGCTCTCAGCGTGGAAGTAGTCCTTATCGGTTCTTCTAGTCATCGATTGTTTTCAATGTAATTTATTGCAGAAGAGTACTGTGTTTTCCTTTTACCGTTATTATTATTATTATTATTATTATTATTATTATTATTATCAGCAGCAGCAGCAGCAGCATTATCATTATTATTATTATTAAAAAGCGGTATTTTGATGCGAGTTTAAAGAGAATGTTTTTATATGGACTTTAACAAAAACATCATTGTCCTTTGTTACGATTCAATAACGCGTGTTCCGCTCAAACGTGAAATCCTATTTCAAGCCAACCCATGGTTAAACAATGCAAATGTCGAACTGGGTATTTATAATCTTACAAACCTACCAACTGTACATGTAATAACTACATGGATAAATACCCACTATGTCATCGACTTGTTGTCCGTTCTCTGCCCATGAGCGTGGCATATTTAGCCGAGAGCAGAATAAAGAAAATTCCATTATTCTTAGACGCGAGGCTTTCAATAAAAGCAGTTTTCATCATGGGATTTGCAGTCTCATTCAACAATCTAAAAGAGGTCAATTAACAAGCACAGATTTGTAAGGTTTGCACAAAAGCTAAACCGAAACTATCGCATTATTTCTTCATCTAAACCAGTTGATCGAGGCTTTCAACATAGTTGGCGTGCAGTTTTTGAAAGCCTTGTACGAGTCAACACTTCAGACCTTACCCTTCTGTGGCGGGTGGGGGATGTCACAGCGGTGACGCCAGCTGTCAGCCCCCACAGTTTGGTATCAGTGTGTTAGTGATGCGAGCTTCATCTGCAGTCTTTCAAGTATTTATATTCATCATACTTCACGGCAACCTTCCGCAGGTTGAAGAGCCGTATCACAAACTTATTCAATAAAGGTGAGACTGGCGAAAATGTATTATTATATGGGCATATAAAGACGTTATACTATCGACTGTGAACGGCAGCCCTGCATATATTGGACAGTCTTTCGTTATTAGGTTCTAGTTCCATACAATGTTGTTGTTTTTGTCTGTGTAAGGTGTCCGCCTTTGTTATGACAGTTTCTGGCCTCCATTCGACACCTAGGTTGTGTTTGCTCGTGTAGCTGGTGGTATATTGTGGGACAAATTCTAGATGGTGGTATTCAGAGACAAATGCTATGAGTATGAATTTAGTTGTATATCTGCCACATCCAATGTTTCCTCCCTCTGTGAGATATCAAACTGTATACATCGATGTTTAAGGGGTATATATACTGAACACAACCTGTATGTACACCGATGTATTTTGGGGAGAATAAACTGGACACAAACCGTATATATACCTATGTGTTGAGGGGTAAATACGCGTGACACAACCTGTATGTACACCGATGTTTATGGGGTTAATAAACTGGACACAACCTGTATATATACCTATGTGTTCAGGGGTAAATACGCGTGACACAACCGGTATATACACTGATGTTTTATAGGGTAAATATACTGGTCACAAACTGTATATACACAGATGCTTTATGGGGGTAAATATACTTGACACAACCTGTATATACACCTGTGTTTTATGGGGGTAAATGTACTGACACAAATTGTATATACACCTGTGCTTTATGGGGTAAATATCCTGGAAACAATCGGTATATACACCGATGTTTATGGGGTTAATATACTGGACACAAACTGTATATATACCAATGTGTTCAGGGGTAAATACGCGTGACACAACCTGTATATACACTGATGTTTTATAGGGTAAATATACTGGACACAAACTATATATACACCAAGGTTTATGGGGGAAATATATACTAGACACAAACTGTATATACACCGATGTGTTAAAGGGTAAATTAACTGAACACAACCTGTTTATACGCCGATGTTTTTGGGGGTGATTATACTGGACACGACCTGTGTTTTATGGGGTAAATATATTGGACACAAACTGTTTATACGCCGATGATTTATTGGGGTAAATATACTGGACAAAAACTGTATATGCATCGATGTTTTATGGTGTAAATATACTGGACACAAACTGTATATACACCGATGTTTTATGGGGTATTTTAACTAAATGATATTATTGTTATTTTCCACAAAACTGTAGCTGGATATGTACTCAGATATGTTTATTCTTGCATTTAATTTCGTTACTAACAATGTCAACAACAATGTTACAACAATGAGTGTGTCATGTCGATGATAAAACTTATATCTGCATAATATGAGCTAACCCCGAGAAACAAATGGGATGTATTTTGAGAAGATTTCCTAAAACTCGAGATGACAGACTGAGTATATTTAATTTGCCAGAGAATTTGATATGATCTAAAATACTTAGGGATATTGTTTATTTATTTCATTGAACTAGTTTATATCTTGCCTGCTACCAGGAACACGGGAGGTATGTGCACAGTTCATGACACAGTTAATTTTTTGCCAAATTTAACAAGCAAGCTATAGTTAATTCAGTGTTTGGTTCTCTCGAGGCGGTATAAGGAAGATAAACAAACACATGAGAAGAGGAACCATCTGCTGTACGTCATTCTGGGACGTTGGCTTGCATTGGATTAACTATGGAGAAGTGTGATGCTCATTTACATTTAGGCGCTGAAGGTCTATGCTTAATAGAATGGAATACTTTCTCAGTATCAATACTCGTAAACGTCTAAGCTTAGTCAGCAAATAATAAATGATTGGAAAGATGATAATATTTACTTTAATAGACCATTGGCTTTTGAGACGACTATACTGGGTGTTATTCTGGTTACTGTGATGTATGCCCCGTTAATATGCGTGTAAACCAGTTACCCAGTGTGAGTTGATCTCTGCAGGTGTACCATATCATGTACCAAGCAGACAGGAGCATGTGTATTAAACTGATATTAGTCTCACTAGACGAAAGCAATCGTTGAACATGTCTACAAATTAGGTCAGTGGGTAAATCTTGGTCCTTGGACAAACAAACAATCGTGGACCATTTTGTTTCTAAAGGGCCATCCTGAGAATTTGACAGTATCCTTAGTGCTATAAAACTGTCATCGTTGACAGGGTCGTTGTCTATGAAGCGTCCCTTCAAAGACAGCTCCTAGCGGCAGTGACGTGAGACCGGCACTGATCTGCCGCTGGTATCATTTGCCGCATAAAGCAGGATTACTCCGGTATGTGCTTATAACAAAGTGACATCGTTCACTGACCTACGTCCTTGCTTATAGTCTGTTCCAACTTATAAAACAAAACTACCATGAAGCTAACCTGTTTCTCTGATAGGTACAAATCGGTGCTTGCACCGTGCTAGTCTATCATCTTCGCCACTGAGGCAGCGGTAGGTTGTCGCATTGTGCTGTGTCGTTCAGCGTAGAAACATCAAAGGTCGGAACAGCCGTGTACAGTAACAAAATGATTAACGGAGGTTGTGTTATTCATCATTATTTCGTACTAATTTAGCATGTAAAGGAGCACTGGATATTTTTAAAACATTGGTTCGTTACCTTTTAACTGATCTCGGTTGTGTGAAATAACACAACTGCGTGTTTCAACATTATCTCATCTGAAACTGGCGGGAATACCACCAACAGCTAACACTCAATAGGAACAAGGCGCAGTGGCACGTGAGGACAGACCTTATAACAGACGGTAACAGTAACAGACACACAGACAGGCAGACAGACAAGGGCAGTGATATACATACAAGCACACAAGGACAGTGACAGACATACAGACAAGGTCAGTAACAGACATACAAACAGATAAGGACAGTGACATACATACAAGCACACAAGGACAGTGACAGACATACAGACAAGGTCAGTAACAGACATACAAACAGACAAGAACAGTGACATACATACAAGCACACAAGGACAGTGACAGACATACAGACAAGGTCAGTAACAGACATACAAACAGACAAGGACAGTGACATACATACAAGCACACAAGGACAGTGACAGACATACAGACAAGGTCAGTAACAGACATACAAACAGACAAGGACAGTGACAGACATACAGACAAGGACGGTGACATACATACAGGCACACACGGACGGTGACAGACATACAGACAAGGACGGTGACAGACATACAAGCACACACGGACGGTGACAGACATACAGACAAGGACGGTGACAGACATACAGACAAGGTCAGTAACAGACATACAAACAGACAAGAACAGTGACATACATACAAGCACACAAGGACAGTGACAGACATACAGACAAGGTCAGTAACAGACATACAAACAGACAAGGACAGTGACATACATACAAGCACACAAGGACAGTGACAGACATACAGACAAGGTCAGTAACAGACATACAAACAGACAAGGACAGTGACAGACATACAGACAAGGACGGTGACATACATACAGGCACACACGGACGGTGACAGACATACAGACAAGGACGGTGACAGACATACAGACAAGGTCAGTAACAGACATACAAACAGATAAGGACAGTGACATACATACAGGCACACAAGGACAGTGACAGACATACAGACAAGGTCAGTAACAGACATACAAACAGACAAGGACAGTGACATACATACAAGCACACAAGGACAGTGACAGACATACAGACAAGGTCAGTAACAGACATACAAACAGACAAGGACAGTGACATACATACAAGCACACAAGGACAGTGACAGACATACAGACAAGGTCAGTAACAGACATACAAACAGACAAGGACAGTGACAGACATACAGACAAGGACGGTGACATACATACAGGCACACACGGACGGTGACAGACATACAGACAAGGACGGTGACATACATACAAGCACACAAGGACAGTGACAGACATACAGACAAGGACGGTGACAGACATACAGACAAGGTCAGTAACAGACATACAAACAGACAAGAACAGTGACATACATACAAGCACACAAGGACAGTGACAGACATA